AGACGTGGCAGAGCTTGTAGGTCAGCCGCTGGATGTGGTCGGGCTTCAGGCCGCTGCTGTCGTAGATGACGTTGTAGTGGGTCGGGGACACGCTGCCGCTCCGCACGGCCTGGCTCACGATGAAGAAGTCGTACCTGGAGCACAGCGGGCACGAGGCTCAGCCCGTGTCCTCGGGGACGCGCTGTGGGTGACGCCCGAGACACGGTCTGCCCGACTCGGAGACAGCTCCCGGCCACACGGCCAGCAGAGGGAGTGTCTGAGCCCCAGACGCCCATCGCAGCCCAGGCGCGAGCAGGTCGGCCCTGAGCCAGGTCCCCACACAGCCTCCCCTCCCTTCCAGGGCTGCCTGACCAAAGCCGCCAGCACCCGGGAGGTAAGCGGGTCTTTGAGGAGAGAGCAGGGAAGCGTGTGCACAGAGCCCGTGCAGGGCGCAGACCAAGACACGGAACCACAGTGCGGGGTAAGGGATCCGCTCTCCAAGGGATTTCATCTCCTCAACCAGTAACACAGCACCCACAAGACGCCGCGTCTGCCCGGCAGGGACGGGGAGCACCCGAGCAGCAGAGCTCAGCACCCGGGGGTACAGCTCTCCCGCACCTCCAGAAAAGGGAGGGCTCAGAGATGTCGACTGCCTCACCGGAGCTGGGACCAGGCCTCGGAGCCCTGCTGGGTGGGTGCATCTCAGGGCCGTTCTCTGCCAGGCAGCGTGGGGAGCTGTCCTGCCACTGCAGAGCCGGCCTGGCTTTGCTGACTGCTTGCAGAGGCCATGTCTTTAGGCCAGGTGCCCGGCTCCTCTGAACAGCCCCAGCGTCTGCACAGAGCAGCAATGAGGCCCAAGGACACAGCCTTGCCCCGTGCCGGGTGCCCCAGGAGTGGGCATGTTAGGGGCACCCCAGCCCGGCCCTTCTATCCGGCTCCCTGTAGCAGTCGGACTCCTGAGCAGGTCTGCAGCTAACGCTTGCCCGGAAAGGAGCCGGGACCTGGGAGACCGTCCAGGGCGGAGACCATCCAGGGCGGAGACCGTCCAGGGTGGAAACTGTCCAGGGCGGGGACTGTCCAGGGCAGATTCTGCCCGAGCTCAAGGACACAGCTCTCGGGCACTGGCGACTGTCCACACAAAGCTGGGACGGGGCGGCCTCAGTGCCCGAGGCGTACGGCCATGCATCTCCCAGGACCGTGGCACTGGGCAGAGACTCTACCCTGACGGTGAAAAGGCCCCCAGAACCAGCGCCGTGAGATCGCAGGCCGTCCCGACACGCTCTCGCCGGCCTTTAGACGTGGCAGCAGTGGCTTTCCGCCCGTGTGCTTCCGGGAAACCCAGGCACGGGTTCCGAGGAGCTCTGGACGGCCCATGTCTCAGTCTCGCAGCGGCCTGTGTGCCCAGGTCTCTGCCTGTGCCGGCCGAGGGCAGCTCCCGGGCACACAGGGCGGTCTGCCCACTCGGCAGCCCCTTTTCTCCTCGCAGCTGGGTCTGGGTGAAAACCAGGCGCCGCAGACCCGAGGGCTTGCAGACAGCGTCACGGGGGCCACGTGGGAGGCACGAGCCGCCCTCAGAGCGGCCCCGCTTCCAGGCAGGCACTCACCCCAGCGAGCGCGGAGACCTCTGTTCACAGTTCCAGGCACGGAGGAACCGGGCTGCAGGGACCCGGGAGCAGGAGACACGGCAGAGGGAGAAGACGCCAGCGCGGGACAGGGCGGGCTCTCGGGCAGCACAGGTGTCTCAGCACACGGGACTCACCACTCGGGCCTGGTCACCTCCACATCAATAACCGTCCCGGGGAGTGGGTTCTGAAGTCTCCCTCCAGACTGCGCGAAGAAACGGGCATTCACTCGCTTCTTCACCACGATGACCGTCAGCCTGGGGCTGAGAGAGGACACACGTGCCTCCAGTCAGTCATGGGCTCACAACACGCTTCTCCACCTGGAGGGCACACGCCCTCGAGGCACGGTGCCGTCCGGGCCCGGGAGAGAACGTGCCTTCCCTCTCGGCAGGAATGAGGGCGAGGGTGCACTGGGGGTGAGGGGCCAGAGGACATGCATGTTCCGACACAGAGAGACAGAGAGCAATGGTGTGAGCGTGTGTGGGTGTGTGTCCTGTGACACAGGTTACAGACATTTTCATCCAGAGGCCAAATGCGCATGGGGACGCTAAGTCCAGCCCGCCTCCAGGCGCACGGCTCAACTCACTCTCCTGTGCGCGTGGGAGCAGGACGGTCTTGCAGGCTAGCTCCCCCCAGCGGCCTCTGTCTAGCCGGTCATGAGGTACCCGGGCGGACGCACACACATACGCACTGGGATGGACACACGTGCACTGGGATGGACACACACACGCATGCAGTACCCAGACACCTCATTAGGGGGGTGGCAGGTTTTTGGGGTGAGCACTTCACCCACGGTCCGAAGGCTCCCCGTGCCCCGCCACATCTATGCACTCTGGACACCAGAACAGCAGGCCCCGCGTGCGCTCTTTGGCTGGTGCTCCCACGTCCAGGCTCCAGGCTCCCGGCTCCCGGGCCGCCCGTCCCCTGCAGGTGCACACCCTCGGCCCTGTCGCCCTGGGCCCAGCGTCGCCCCGCGCCCGGCCCCATAGCCTCTCACATCCAC